ATAAGATATAGAATTTAAAAAAAATTCTGGGTAACTTACAGTTCACCACGACTTAAGGTTTCACATGAATCAGTTGGACATTCTCTACACTAGAGTCTATCGATTTTATGAAATTGACGACTTAGAGCATATGCTCTTCGTTTGCTTTCCTCTTCTTTGCAGAGAAGGGCCTTAGCACTTTGCTGACATTACTGTTTATCGATGAAGCTTTTGAACAACAAGTCTGAATTTTTGCTATAATATAACTTATAGAGTTATTGTTTTGGCAAACAGAGTGTTTCTTATTTTGTTGGCACTATTGTATCTCTATACAAACTCTTGCACAACAAACCATAGGTCCCAAAATTGTGCTATAGGGTCTCTATATAAGAGACCCTAATCTTGGCATACAAAAGTTTCACCAGTTTATTCGAACTACTATGGCTTTCTATAATTAGTATATAGGGTGCTATAGGGTCTCTATATAAGAGACCCTAATCTTGGCATACAAAAGTTTCACCAGTTTATTCGAACTACTATGGCTTTCTATAATTAGTATATAAATATAATATATATAATAAAAAATTTATGAAAGCTTTAGCATAAAAACTTCAGAAAACTAAGTACTCCATAATAGTTCAAACATCTCAGTCGCCTTAGCCTTTGTTATAATAATTCCTATAACTACCTTAAGTAAATAAATTCGCAGATTATTAATAAAATAAAATGTAAACAATATCCAAAGAAGAAATATCTGAACAATTTTTAATCATTTTTGTGTCACTGCCAAAATCCACATTGAGAGCAGATATAAAAAATTTTTGCAGTTATGCTCGCATACCAGGGAACTCACCCATGTATGCCCTACAGCGTTTTATTTCTGTTTTGTATCTTTACAATTTCATTCTGCAATATTTTTTTTTTTCTGTTACAATTGTGCAAAAAAAATCACAGAAAAAAAAGAATTACTTAAGTCCTTTAATGTTAATATATAGAAAAACAAATCCATTGATGTAGAAGAATGTGTCGCATTTTAATAAATTGTATTTAAATTTTTTTAAAGAAAAAATTTTTTTTATATTTTTACAATTACAATTTGAATGTATCTGCAAATGCTTAACTGGTTTCACATAAATAAAAATTTTTCAATAGTTTAAAATTTATATAAAAACTCACCTGTGGCCTAAGCCCTGCGGTTGTCAGGTATTTTACATGAAAAAGTACAGTACAAAGTGTAATATAAATATTTTTTATAACAGCAAGTGTTTTATTATTATTTAAATTTTAATTGAATTTTAATGTAGTCGTAAAAGGAAATAGTAAACTCTTACGAAAAAAAAAAACAAATTTAAAAATAAAAATAATTTTAACAACAAAATAATTATTTTGAACTCGAAAAATTGAAAAAGTTTTAAATACAAGAAAAAAAATTAGCAACTTAAATCGATATATGGAATACCACATTTTTGTTAATGGTTAAAGTAGAAGTATCTTCTTTATAAATTTTATAAATAAAATCTTATGCATAACATGTATCTTAGCTTCAATGCATTTAACCGCTAATAGAAATGCACTTCACCTTTACTGAAGTTAAAAATAAAAATGCATTTTATGCAAAAACTGCAAGGCGCGCACGATAATTCATAACGTAATTTATGCAGCAATGATTCAACAACAAAACAACATTGAAGCATTGAAATACACAGATAATAAATTGCATATCGAGAGTTATCAATACAATAATTAATTGTAAATTGTAAACACAAATTTAACAGCTCACATTCGCAGTTGAAATATCTGTCGATGCCGCGTACCTCTATCTGCATCTGTATCTAAATCTGTTCGAATCTATCTGCCGTACTTTGGCTCATATGTCGATTTATGGACACACACACTCGCACATACAAGCAGCACACATCTGGGTTGTAGTTTCATTAAATCAAAAATCTGGGAAATCAGTATTTCAATAACTTTGTTAATAAAATAAGTTATTAACATAAATAAATCACAGCCGCAGTTATTTCTCCATATTCACAGCACATAAATATTTATTTTAATTTATATATAATTATGTTGATTTTCAATTTATTTGCGGTATATAAATTAAACAATTAATACATATAATTACACAAAATCTATATTATATTGTATTATGGAAATTTTTTTCCTTTACAATTAGCAAATAATAAAAACCATTTTAATTAACAAATGAAATTTTATTTACAATTTAAAATTAAAGTAAAGCTGCTCTCCAATTCATTCAAAGATCCAAAAAAATATATATTTATTACAATCACATCATATGTTTCAATAGACATCCCGTCACTAATCACATTGTGACACAACAAAACTTCTTCTTCTTATTTGGCACTATACTCCAGTGTGAACCTTTACCTCCTTCTTTTTTAAAAAAGGTTGCGTAGCGGCCGTTTTTCTTGCGATCAACCCCCAACCTAAAGGACCGACACAACAGAACTGCCATCTATTAAGTCTACATGTCAAGTCTGTAATATACATTTAGTCTAAAACCAAATAAAAAAATAAGCGGTTATATTAAATTCGCACAAGCCGTGATTGCTTCAAGTACCTTAAGTATATTTACATTGAAATAAACTAAAATCAAAGCACTAGCTATTAAAATGTGCTAGTAAACAGTACTAAAAACTGATATATAAATACTAGAAAAGAACTATTGAATGCAATAAACCGAATAAAATGCTGAAGTGGTCCAGTTCAGTGAATCGATGCTCTGAATAATTGATTCAGTTCAAAAGTGTATAAATATATCTACCGCACCTACAATGTAAGAAAAATTTATAAAACCACGATTATTTTATTCAATTATAGTTAGAATTTGAATAGTTCGATTCGTTTGAAAAAGCTCAACGCATCTAAAAAAAGCAACAACCATATAACAATGAATAATAACATTCAGATAATCGAGTCCACCTAATAGCATTCTAGTTTATTTAGACCAGCTATGTGGTCCTGAAGAAACCATTATAGTCATAGGTAATGTCATTAATTGAATGCTTTAAATTAAGATAAGCATTGAAATAAGGCTATTAGGTAAACCCATCTTGCAACATTATAATTTTCGAGCTAAGGTTGGCCACTTCATTAACTGGTTGATATTGTAATAAAATCTCCTTAAGCCATTTATTCCTAACTTAAGTAAAAAAAATGTGTTCCTTATTTTAGTTTTTTTTTTTTACTGTAAGTCGAAAGCATCGAAAGCCACAGTGTGAGACTTGCAATAAAACCACCTCTTAGGAACGAGTTGAATAGATCCCGCCCATGTAAAAGACATCTGACTGAAATGGCAATTTCATTTCAGTGAACAGGGAGTGAAATGTAGGAAGCCTAGTATTTGAATTCCCAAATTTATCTATAGTAAGCTAGGAGTGAGAACGTAGTATACTTAATAATATGTATAATTATTGGCATTTGAAAAAGTTCAAGAATCTTCAAGAGTTTACTCTATAGGATAGTGTGCTATATCTGCAAATGAACTGCATTTCGTTAAAATACCAACGAATACCAAAGGACCAGGGGATTTGGGACGGCTATGAGAAAAAGCTTGGAGCAGCTCAGGGAAAAGAATGTGTTTATTTTCATGGTTTTTTTTTGTGGATCAAGTAATTCTACCTAACTTAGCCCCACTTAAAGTGCTAGTTAATAGCATTTAAACAGAAGAAGTATTCAAATTTTTAAAATAAGAAAGCAATTTTAAATCTATCTATTTTAATGCTTATGAGTTCATAAAAATTTTGAATGCAAATAATATCACTCGCAAGTTATAATTATTAATATAAATTATGAAAATAATTAACAACACTTATAAGCGAACAAGTACAGAGACAGAGCTCTAAAATTATTCACTAAAGTTGATACGCTAATTAACCCCGCCCTAACAATCCTCAAGTCCACTTCTGGACTCTCAGGAAGATATGCTGATTTAAAGTCCGTCATCAACTAAAAGACAAATATATGATATGATTTTTTTTTTAACCTAGTTAAAACCTACTGTGGGTTAGAGATAAGCCCCCAAGCCATTTAGAGTAAAAGTGCGTAATAGCACTAACTCAAGAAGAAGAAGAATCAAGAATCAAGAAGAAGTACATAAATTTTTATTGTTAAACCTTATTCAAGGTGCTTGTTAGAAGCACTAAAAATGAGAAAGAAAAATTACTGCCCCGAAAAAATTCTGTCAAAAACGTCAGTGTAAATATTTTATTTATTATTATAAATATTTTATTTATTATTATAAATATTTTATTTATTA